CAACGGACAAAAATGATTTCAAGCCCTGTTGGTACTTCCAGTGTTACAAAATATAGCTTTTCTATCTAGAATAGAAATACAACAGTAAATACTTACCCAATTGCGTGAATTCCACACAGCCAATAGTAATTGTACCGCGACGAATTTCAAATTTTAGAACGAATTTGCAGGAATAGATAAAGACGTGCGAATCAAATTGTGTCTTAACTTAGCGAAGTTTTTGCATCCAATGCGGATGAAGTACATGATGTATTTGATAAACGTACAGCCTTGTTCATGGGAATTTGTAAAGTTGGAGTATTTTGGTGAAGTATCCTGTTCGACTTCCCGCTTCCTCCTACATGGCCGACACATGCATCTATGGCAGGCGCTTGGTGCCACAAATGCTTTATTGATCTTTGAAATGTCTGATGGTAAAGTTCGATGGAAGAAAAAAAAAAAATTTAAAAAAAATTAAATTTTCCTTCGACTCTCTTTTGCTGACCAATCAGATCACGAGAATTAGCGGCCAATCTATCCATCCAGACAAACAGAACATCTGAATAAATATAGAGATCAACGGGCGGTTAACCGAGCTTGGATCATGTTGAATGTGACTAATAAGATTAATCGGGCTATTGCATGCACTAGAAGGATTAAGAGTTATTTGAACCAAAGCCTACTGAAACATCTTTATTACTCCCTCATTCTTCCACATATAGATTACTGTTCAGTTGTTTGGGGCAAGTGCAAAAAGAAAGATTTACTCAAATTACAGAGGACGCAGAACAGGTATGCAAGATTAGTCCTTAATGCAGACTATCTAACCCCAAAAGACATCCTTTTAAGCACTCTTCAATAGCAAAGTGTTGAAAATAGAATCAACTACCACTACTGCATTTTCGCCTACAAAATACTCAATAATCTAGCCCCTTATTATTTAGAACCTTTTGCTTGTAAACGTCCAGTTTACTATGTTACTCGTCATTCTACCTTGAATCCTTTATTTATCCCAAAACCTAAGACTGAATTTAAAAAACGATCTTTTTCTTTCATCGCTCCAAGCATCTATAACAATCTACCGACTCATATTCGCACGGCAACTTCACTCCAAATGTTCAAAAAACAAATTAAATCACTCCCTCCACTTTAATGCATGCACTGGTACCTAATGTTATATTATGACTTATTACAGTTAGTTTTGTTTGTTTTGTTTGTTTGTAGTTGTGTAGTCTGTAGTAGTTTTATTTCTTACATTTTACCCTTTTGATTTTATGTCTGTTATTTATTTATGGCATGTGTATTTGTATTTGTATTTTGTATTGTATCAATAATATCTTAATGTTTAATAGTTCAGGCCTTATGTTAATTTTGATCTAGTTTTTAAGTTGTTTTAGCTCTCTTATGGTATCTTGTTTATATAATGTCTTTGTTTTTTTACAATGTATTCTATTTTTTGTAAATCTTTGTATGTACAGGGCTCTTTTGTAAAGCAGGCCTCTGGCACTGAAAAGACTACCCTGTTTTTAAATAAAACTGAATAAATAAATAAATAAATGTCACAAATGCTGCGGGCTTCATAGGTATAAGGTTGGGTTCAGGGTTGAATTTAGTTAAGAATACGGTTAGTGTTGGAAATTGGCGCGGAACAAAAATTGTCGAAGAAACGCAACCCGACAGACCGCTGATTGGTTAAACAAATAACGTTAATGTAAAATTTAGGGTCAATATTTTTTCTTACTATATCGACCCTTTGATAGACCTATCTATCTTAATCCACGAAACATTTATGGCACCGAACGCCATCCATACTCATCTATATATTGGTCATTGGAAGGTGCTTCCGGTGTGGGTTACAATCTTGGGTTACTGGCATGGTTTACAAAGAATAACGAAATGTTTTAACCGAACCGCTGTTTACGCCATACTCCAATTTGTAATAAGTGGGTATAAAAGTTTCAAATTAAAGTGACGTACATATTCAACGTTAACCTGTTATCAATGCTAATGGTCGCTCAGGAGCCTGATGACATGATTGCTTTGGTATAACATTCAACTTACACACGATTTATGACTGGAAGAACACGAGAAAGGTGAATGGTAGACTAAGCGTGAAAGACTAAAAGATGGACAGAGGAAAACGAATGACGCGTAGACACAATAGAGGCAGAGAGTCAAGGAACCGAAACAATTTTAGACATGTTAGAAGCCCGGCCCCGCATGCGTGTTCCCAAAATCTCCAGCTCGTAACAAAGAAAAAGATCTACCCGTATTGACTTTACACACCGGACTTATGCTGAGGGGGGGGGGGGGGGGGGAGTGCTGAAAAGGCTCGTATAACAAAAGAAAAAGATCTACCCGTATTGACTTTACACACCGGACTTATGCTATAAAAAAGGGGGGTGCTGGGAGCACGCATATTCGTACCCTAAATAACACTAAGGGGGGGGGGGTGTTAGAAGAGACAGCGAAACGGCGGGGGAATCAGGCGTGATTAGACATTGCAAGAGAGACAGGTTCCATTAAAAGATGATAAATTGATTCGGAAATCCTTTATAGCATTCTACCAAGAAGAATATTTCTTTTCACATCACTAGAATAACGTTTTATTCTTATAACCTTACCTCCCATAAACCAAAATGACAAAACAAAACTAATAATGTCGCGTGATTTTTATTCCTTTCACTTTGATAAATCGTAATATTAAAGTACGAGAATAGAGCCCGTTAGTGGTGAGTCGCGAAACGGAAGTAATGTCATTGTCCTTGTTTCATTTCTTGTTGATAATGACGTGTGCTTTACTCCACTAAATGAAATATCTGTCGTGTAATCTTTTTTTGATTCAAGTGTGAGCTTTCATTTCCTTGTCCTATATTCCTCACATTCGAAAGACATAATATGAGAGGGAAGTTCCCCAAAATTCAGTCATTTAGGTGTTTTGATAGATGGCTTGAAATAATAAAAATGTAGTTTTTATGGTACCCTATTAGTGTAGGAAGATCATAGACCACCAAAAAACAGAATATAACAGGCACTTAAAAGCGTATACCTCGCTGGCTTAAAGATATTTATGATTTTATATGGGATGGAACAAATTGAATTTTTCTAAAAGAAAGTGGCACTAGTAAACAAATAGGATGCCTTATATTTCTTTACTCTTTTTTTTCTTTTTCACTATCTTTCTCTCTTTCTTCCTTCCCCCTTGTTATTGTTGTTGTCGTTGAACTTTTTTTTTTTTTTTTTTTTTTTGAGGGGGGGGGGGGGGGCAGAGCCCCTCCCCGCCCATAAGCAGGCCAGTGGTCAATGAGCCTTATGCTTTAAATGCTCCAAATTCGCGGGGGGGGGGGGTAAGAGGACATTTTTTTTTGGGGGGGGGTCCCGAAATTTGAAATTTTGATTAAAAAAAAACAAAAACAAACACTCAAAAGGGGGGGGGGGGGGGTTACAAAATAACATACACGAAACATACACATACAAAAACTCAAGGGGGGTTAACCCCCACCCCCATCCCCCACCCCCCCCCCCCCCCCCCCCTCTGCGTACGCGCCTGAACCCAATACCTACTGCGAAGAGTAAACAAATAATAGGGCAAATAAAATGAGAAAAGAATAGCAATAAAACAGTTATAATCAGATGTATTAATATGTTTATTTCATATAAAATAATTACAACATTCGAAGCGAATAATATACATAATATGGCATTTGTACAATCTTCAAAGTATATAAGAATAGATCTATGGGTAAAGCTACAAATAAACTATTAGTTAGAATAACGTAAATGATAAAGTTTAAAATATAAATGTTATGAAAGAGCTTCGTTCGTCGTCATCAGTCTTGTTTCTAAAGAAACACGTAAAATTGAATACATCCTGTTGTGTGTACTACGCAATTCTCACTTTTAAAATATTTGGCATTAGTGTTAGCGCTCGATAATATATTGATTTAAGAACTATGATTAATACAAGAGGTCGTAATGTTGGTGAGCCAAATATTCTGATTGAGTAAAACTAATTTGAATACCTTTGAGTTTCGAGTTTCGATGATAAATTAATCATCTGCTATGGTAACGGTACATCGCCATGCCACATTCAGATCCAGAGCTTCCCTATCTGATTAAAATTAGCAGTCTTTATAGTTTTTGTTGTTGCTAAGAGTGAAATAGAAACAACTTTAGTCTCTCAATAAATGTGTGCAATTTCTTGTCAAGCCTGGTTGATGTGCTCCATGCATTATATGGAAGTGTGCCGATTAGATAACATTAGAAAACGCCTGGCAGTTGAGATTACTCAGCGTTTGGTCACATCTTCACATGACGATACGAGCAGAATCCGATAACAAAAATGATATCGTTTTATGTAATCGGATAGGGAACGGTTAGTCCACTCCACATACATCTTGAAAGATTGTAGCCATATGCTTAGATTAGACTACAAAAAGAATATGAAGTGAATTTAATGTCAAGTTATGTTCAAAACTTGATTCAATCAAATAGGATGTATATCTAAGCAGTGTATAAGCTGCCTAGGCTACATTATAAAATTAGTGTAGGATCCGATAAGGGTCATTATCATATTAATACCAACTTGTACCATGTGTAGCTACATGCTGTTCAGAATAGCGACTAACGAATTACGTTCATGTGACCAGGAATTCGATCGGAACAATGGGTCAAATAAGGCAATTAAATTGAGGACCTTGACCACATTTGATGTAGACTATTACTTGGCCATTGTTTAAAATATCCAGATCGGAAGGGTATCTTCCAATAGCACTGGATGGAATTTACCAATCAATTTATAGAGTACAATATCACAATACGTTGGTGTTTGTGATATGAACTTTCACTTTTCATTTTTGGAAGAGATATTGTATGTTGGACTTCCGAAGCATATCATACTTCATATCCTAATCGATAAAGCCCGGTTACCTACAGCAAACTATAACCTTTTTTTCTCTTCTTAAAAAGGATCGATAAAACAAAAAAAGATAAACCCAATAACGCAATCCGATAATTTTACTTCAAACTTTAAGGCTGTTGCCATTGTAAATGAATAATATAAACTGAATACGTTAGACTGTATAGATACGTTCTTACAGCAGTATTTACATGTAAACAGTACAAAATTTATAATCTTTCTATATACATTTCTCTTGATTCTTATAAAAGCACAAATCACAACATTTCAATCACTTTTGTATCTTTGAAAAAAGGTATATGAATCGACGATCAGGTCATAAACGAGGTTAACTTGACCATCAATCTCAAAATAAAGACTCGCTTTACTAGAATTATCATGAGAATTGAAATTCTTTCCCATATTATGATAACATTCCTTACAGACAACTTAAAATTAAATAAATTATGTTTCAAAACCCACATCATGTCGACACATTGGAGACTATGATAGGTCAGTGGCGTATCCAGCAAAGGTGAACAGGCGAAAATCTACCCCCCCCCCCCCACACACACACCACTTTTGGCACAATTTCTTGGTACGCCACTGTCGAAAGTTAAGTAGAAAGTGTTTGCAAGAATAGCTAAGGTACAGTAGCTCAATGAAACCTATCAAATCACCAAGTCATTTTGTTGATGGTTAACCTATGGATCTATGTCATCATAACACAGTCCGTTTTCAATCTGCATCATCATGGTCATGGGTGCTCTATTTTGAATGATTCTGAACAAATACGGTATTGATTTACAATCAATATAAATCACATGAAGCATGTGATTTACGTCATCATAACAATCAGTTGAAAGAAAAATCACCAAATGTATAATCACATCGAATCATTGTCACATTTAAGTTAGTAGTGATTACCAACCGGCACTTCTCCTCATATCAGTTTGTATATGATTCACACCGCATTCCAACAAAGTACGTAAAGTTAGTCCACACATTGTGTCATTGCTTCCGCTTCCTCTGGCTAGTGATTTTAATCTGACAACGACACAGTCCTAGGACCAAGTCTTTCCTTTCTTCTTTTCTCTCTTTTTGTCCTTTAGAAAAGCTTTATGAACGTGAACATCAGCTTTCGTCGACGCCTAAAGTCTCGTAGTGTCCCGAGGTAGCCCACTTCATCCCCAGTGTTCTTGACTTGGGCCCTCGTCTAAGTTTATCGTAGTCGTTGTCGTCTGATGCTTCTAACGAGGCTGTCTGACTCTTGGTGTCTGTAGGACTCGTTGGTTTCACGCTGGTAGCGTGGTTTAGCTTCCCATACATGTTGTCTGGTTCTCCCTCGGTGCTATGTCGGAGTGAGCTGTACCCGCTCGAGTTTTCCGAATCATCATCTTTGTTGCTGTACCCTGATGATAGGCGACGGCTCCCGACACCACCGCCGCAGCTCGTGAAGAGTTTTGAGGTTTCTCTCAGGTTGCTCTGCTTGACCAGAGCTAGGACGTTCCCTGGTGTGAGTGTACCAGCACCTTTAACAGGACTGTCCTTGAGACTTGAGCCCACCCGACATGCCCACGTACTCGACTTGTTCTGTGGCTTCTGATTGGGATCCGCGTAGAGCGGTGCTAAATCGCCTGTATCTTGATGCTCTAGGGTAAATGCATGGTATGCTCCGTGGAGGTTCTCCTCAAGGTCATTATTATTCTTCTGTTTCTTGTTGTTGGCTAACAGCTCATCACAGTCGTTGTCAGGTTTTCTGAGCTTGTTGACCACGGCGTATTGAGGGACAATCTTCATAGAGCCACCACGCTTCACAGGACTTCTTTGTTTTCTTTGGGATTCATTCAAGCTTCTCCTATTGTTAATGATTGCAGCATGTACTTGGTTGTTCTGTAGGTCTTCTCGTAACGTTTGTTCAGTCTGTGAGGTGACTCTGACAAAAGTTGTCCCAGGAATATCTGATATTTCCACGTATGGTCCATCTAAACGAGAAAGGAAGAATAAAGTGTTCAAATAGTCAGAAGTCAAGCTTTACTATTCAGCTACCCTGCGCAATTTTTACATCTGGACTGTTTTGACATGTTAAAGGGTATTACATGTTTATTATGTTAAATTTCTTTTTTTGATGGTAGTGGCCATGACGCTGGTCATGACTTTGAATAGAGAAAGCCAGTGATATTGCAAGTTATATGAAAGATATGTTTGTGCAAGTATATAATGATATTTTTATTTTATTATCATGAATAAAGCAGTACAATTTAGCTTCATGTTATTGTAGTTCTGCCTCCTGTACGCTTTGTTCACATACTGTCGGCAGCAAAAATATGTTGCAGATTTTAACATATTCAACACATTTCCTCTTATATTTTCAGAAATAAGGAAAAAAGGTATATATAAAAAAATTAAATGTAACTAGTGGCTTCATTGGTTATGTTTGAATTAACTGAAGAGCGCCATCTCATGATGTGAACATTTCTACGCCGTTCTGCGACGAGGATTGCAATGACAATTTTTTTTTTAACCAAACCGTTAATCAGTTACCAATTGTGTTCTGTTCACGATGACAAGATTAAGACAATTGCTATTTACCTTTTCGAGACAATCTCTTGAATTTCTTGGATGCCTTTGTATTCGTCATGGTAGCAGCAAGCGCCAGGGCATGTGCTGAGGATTTCTCCGTTGACATTCGTTTCATCTCGAGCTTAGTCGTGCCCTTCGGCTGGTTGTTAGTGCGGAACCGAACAGAGTCATGAAATCTGCACGAATCAAAATTGATAAGGAAACATTCAGGAAAAATGAAGGATAACGTGATTACTCAAGTCAATATTATTGGGAAGAAAGTATATGACATAACCCACGTATTTAAAAGAAAGAAAACAAAAACCAAAGAGCACCTTATTGATACCCATGTCGATGAAAGAAAATCGGCATCAAGATTCCTCCGCTTAACTTGGGCCTCAAAACCATTCGACAAATCTTACATTAGAGTCTAGCCACATTATCAATCTATTTCCCCTCACATCATCCCTATTTTGATATTAACAAAATCAACAAAGACTTGGAACGTTCTCTCTGGGGTTTGACTTTCAATGAGTAATACAGTACTTGTATAGACACACACGTACTCCTGAAAGCAGGTGTTATCGATTAGTCGTACTTGTGTAGCCAAGTTTTTTTGAAACTGTAGACATCATAGATTAGTGTCGATCATTTTATGGGGCTCATGTCGTTTGAATAGTTGCGGAGACAATGCAAATTGTAGAAATAGATAGGTGGTTTTTAATACAGGAGGGGGTGGCAGAAGGGAGGAAGAGGTTGTCAGTATAATTGAGGAGGATCATTATCATTTTTGGAGGAGTCAATAACGCTGGCAACAAGCATGACAATGGAAGGTGGATTTTGTTAATTTTGTGGGACTGAGTAAATAAGGGCTGAAGCAAGGGGCGTCGATTTTCATCTCCCTATTACCAGATTCAGCTAAATATCCTATGGGGTACAGACCTGCATTGCCCCCCGCCCTCCATCCGCCCCTCCTATCTTGAAGAGGGATTCTTCTTCTTGGAGGAAGCATATACATAAGGGCCGTGAACGCACTCATTTGGTGTCAAATCCGTCATGTCTGGTTTTTCTAATCACATTTATCTCGAAGGTGTACATATCCAAACAAATAATGGATTATTGATTAATCCATTGACCAGAAATTCCTTATAGTTATTTCAGCAGACAACATCGGGTCCATGTTCATAATTAGCCTGTTTAGTCTAAATTAGTTACTTCTTGAAATAAAGAACTAAATAACGAATCTGATTAAATTAACAATATTCCAAATGCGTCATGATTGTTCCCATTATTACATCAGTGTTTTGCAACTACAATTGTGCGATGATGTCATTGACATATGTTAATAATTTATATACATGTGTAAATAAAAGAAAATCATGCTTGCAGATCTAAGAATATATCAGATAATAAAAGCATCACTTTTTGCTTAATCTCGTCATCTGATTCTAATCCACACCTGTTTTTATAATGATATTGTTTCTTGCAAATTACAAATAAATCCCTACTCTGTAATTATCTAAGCATCTGTCTTAGTCTGAAAATAATATGTGATCAGTGCCAGACAAATTATGCCGGACCAATATGAGAAAGGGGTAATTATTTCTATATTATAGACCATTCATAGGAAGTAATTTTTACATCCCGTAAGTAAACGTTTTGGTTGGGTTTTGCGTATTTTAATCTGCAATTTTTTCCCCTTCATTTTCACGTATATCTATCTATAACCGATGATATTGTAATGTTCTAATATGATGTATGCAGGGAACCGGGCGGTCCCTGTATTAAACCCAGATCAACGAGAGAATTCAGTAGCAATCGGGTCAACCAAACATAATGCTCCCACATGACCCATATAAGGCCATTTGATAACAACATAAATGACACTATGGGTGCCCATGAATGAACTCTTACCCCGGTTGGACTTTGTTTCTCCTCCTTCTCCTTCTGTTAATGACTATCAGCACGAACGCTACCACAGCGGTCAGTGTAATGACCCCTGCAACACCAGACGCAATCAAAGGCAATACTCGGTCCACCGCAGGTCCCTTGTAATCAGGATTCACTTCGAAGTAGCCCCCTTCCTGATCAATGAGCACCTCATCCTGATGACCAGACTGGCCCTTGGAGGCTCCTGATCCGTCCTTGATAGGGTAGCCACCCGATGATCCTCTTGGAGCCACGCCGCCAAAGGGCGCCCTCACCGTTTCGGTCTTGACTGTAGAAGGGTTCCTTGTAGATGTCCGAGGGGGACCTTTTATAGAGAGAGGGGGGGGGGGTACACAAAGATGTAAAACAGTATTAGAATGGAGCCGCCATAAGCGTGTTAGAGAAGCAAAAGTACATTGACGTCGTCTGGTAACACGGAACTCTGGTACAATTCAAGATCCAAACACTGATGGAATTAGATAAAGATCCTTTCATATTAGTACTGATATTCCCACCAGTATAGTCACCAGAAGAAATACAGATCATCTATCTAAAGCAGCAACCCGTGGAGTAAATTAACCCAGAGGAAACCGCAGATGATCGTGACTCCATTAACAACAATTTTACTACAGAAGTTAGAGCTGATTCACGAGTTAGTTGAGCGATGGGGTATGTTCTTTTGCATCATGAAGCAAAAAATGAAACATGAAGTAGTTTCCCCTGTACTTAAAAATTTGACGAAATGCTCGTCCTAACTCTTAGGGATAAAGAAAGGGCCGATTATGGAAAATGTATTTGACCCTCTTCGACTCTTTTTAGTTCTTGTGCATTCCATACGTACATTACTTTTATTTACACCTTTCGATGAATATATAACTAAATAGGGAAAAATTGTACAATGGGTTGATGAATCACTTGTTGTGTAATGATCCACGTGAACCTTTTGATGATCCCTGATCAACCAGGTCTGCAGTCATTCCCTATCGAAAAACCTGTTGTCGATGTCACGTATTCCTAACTAGACGCTGAAAGAATTATGCCTGCCCCCTCTATAAAGCTATATGATCCACCATGTGTGAAAACTATCACATTTTGATTCATCAGAAGATAACTTATCTACGTGAGATCATGAAGATAAAGTACATTATAAAATTATTTAGCCGATGACAAGGGGTTGAATCATGACAAAAGTGGCGCGCATGAGGATAATGACAAGAGAAGTTCAGCTTTACGAGGGCCACGCAATCCTAAAGAAAACGAATACTTCGTCAGTGTAATTATTTTAATAATTTGATAACCCCTACTGCTATTGTTCATTTGATTGTAGATTTATGTCATCGATATTTGTTTGCAAACAATGCCTAGTCGATATACCTGTTTTTTTGTTAATCCTCTTTAGATTTGAATAAATGTTTGTAGGATTGTCCCGGAGAATTATTAACGAATTTCGGAATATACCCTTTAAAACAATAACAATTGTTGTATTCCGCTGGTAGCTTGCCCTTTTTTTAATTCTCTTGTCACTTTTTTCAAGCTTTACAAAGCCCCTCAATATTGTTTCTTTTAAATATGATTCAACAAGCTTGAAAGAATGAACTATAATTCTATAGCACGTATACTGTCATCGGTTTGACTTGCACACGAACGTTGATCTTGTTAGACTACTGCCATGAGTAAAGGCAACTGGCAACTGTGCAACTATGTCGCACAATGATTTATTTTTTTCAGGTTTTAATTCTCATGAATGGAAGCATGGAGACGTCCCATTCTATTCTCGAGACGGGGGTTCGTGTTTCCATATTTCGCTCCAAGATAAAGGGGGGATGAGAGATGCGGAACTACCATTCACAGTTCACAACCGAGTCAGAGGAAACTGAATCACCCATGGACTTAAGATGAGACCAGAGGCATTATTGGCTACAGCTACGACGTGTTCTCACTCTTCAACTATTCTATCATCGTACCACCTTCCCTTCCTCTCTGGTCCCACGGGGCTGATTTGCACATACCCTCATGAAACAGACGTAAGTCGTTTATTATAGTTTGTATGTTTCCCCAGAGGAGGTTAGCGAATAGTTTGACGTGCAATCGAGATCGCGTACATGTCACACACATGATCCGGAACTGATTCACATCTCTTTAGCACATGGTCAGGGCAAACGGAATCTGCCATGCTTTTGATGAGTTAGGTCAAATAAAATGCAGGCTATATGAAAGTCTCTTTTTCATTTGTTTGTGATGATTTTTTTTTGTTGGGGGAAGGGGTATTTTCAAACATATCATCACAGTATTCATCTCCAAATTAATACCTTCCCTCGAACAATTATATTTCAACTTCCGCCTGCGACCTCAAGGAAATATCACAAAACCTTCGGTCATTTTGTCTGCATTGGGAAAGTACAATTTTTATGATTTTACCCAACATACAGGGGCGTTAGGATCTTTGTATGACAATTTTCACCTATTCGACCTGAAGATGCATTATAAACAATGTTTACATCGGATTCATATTAATTCTGATTTCTGGCCCTGTTCAGCATAAAAATTCACTCATTCAAGATTGCCTTGTTCAGTGTTGTTTTGTTTGCTGTAGAAAAAAAATCTTGAAATACTATTAAAAGTAGATGAGAACTTACTTGTCGTTGGTGGCGCCTCTACACACAAAGTACCGTCTTGGAGGTAACCTTTACAACACCCAGGTCGCACAGCGTACTGAGTCGATATCAGCTCACGAAAGGCATTCACGTATACAAGCCTATTGAGGTAACAAAACGAATCAAAATTTAAGATGAAGTCCGAAATGAAGAAGATAATAATATGTGTTACGAATAAAACAATAAAGAGACACATCGACAGAGGAAGGAAAGAAAGAAAAGAAAAGGTGACGGGAAGTGAGAGATGTAAACAAAAGTATAACTTGTATTTTACTACATTTCATAAAATTATTACTGGTACTGGTTTTATTCAGTGCTAATTTGAACACCTGATCGTTCCATGATTCCTCTGTATGAAACTTCCCAATTCCATTCAGAGAAGAAATAAGCACGTGTGCACTCTACAAAAATTAATGATGTGTTTGTTAATTGCTTCATGAAAGGCAGATAATAAAACTTTACACCTAAGTTAAATCAACTTTACAAAGTGATATCAATGACTACGTGAGGGACAAACCTGTATCTACTGCACATCGCTACACCAAACACACTGCACTTTGTCATGTATCGAAACTTCTTGGTCTGTATACCACTCATTGGTATTCTTTGCACATTGGTGACACTGCAAAGATAAAAAAAAAAAAAAAATAAATTGTATTTTAAAACAAACATTTATTGATGATATGCTGGACATTACAAAATCCATGAATTTAGTTATTTCAATCATTATACAACATACGCTCGACAAAAAGATGCATAGATTGCTCTTGTTAAAATAATTTTTTGTGGTGTTAGACCTATCTGGGAAAATTCTACGAAATATGTAAATGTTATTTATCATCATCGTAGTAGTATTTAAATCACATATCTTATACATTACAAAACATTATAACATGCTGAAAAATCTTGATGCATATTCTGATATAAAAAAAAGGGGGCATAGATATTTTAAATCGCAAGGAAATCTAGATAAGCAATTAGATTAAGCAGGTCGGCGATGAAAATTATCCTTGAATTATAACCTGACGCTTTTCTGGCAAACCTTATTTCATGTTAATTTAAATGAACGTTTCAATGCACTCAAATAGGAAAGGAGTATATAAAGAACGAAATACAAACAAACAAACAAATCAAGCAAATAAAAGCCCTTGCCAAAATTGTAACACAATTTTTGAACAAGGTAAACGCATACGACGCAGATTCTTTCTTAGATATTAGGGACTTTTAGATTTGCACGACGAGAACGTGGACTGCTCGTGTGAAAACCTTTTAAAGCAATGTGACGTCACTGCCAGTGCCTTCAAAGGACGTCACATTGCCTTTATAAAGGGATGTCACACGTCACAGTCCACGTTCTCGTCGTGCAAATCTAAAAGTTCCTAATGATTTGTTAATGTCCTTTGAACATGAGACGTCGTTTTGCCTAACGTAGGCCTGCGTCACAGACTGACGCAGTCACAATGACGCCGATGTGACGATGACATCGCAGAAGAAAAAAAAACGTTTGTACAATAAACAGAGCAAGCAGTGCATTGAATCATTGGCGTATCAACAAATTGCTTTGATATGTTTTATTAGCGCATGCAGTAACACAATCGCAATGATGATATATCGTGTGTGTAACGGGCATTGGGGAATTACGTATGTTTCTCGACATTAATCACTCCCGTACCCATCATCGCATCATCATCAAGCGGTTTCACTGTTTTATTCTATTGCTATAAATGGCCAATATGCGTGGTCTGCATGAGACCATTCTTGTGGATCAATTAGTACACCTGTTCATTATGTATTAATCGAGACAGATAATAGGTGGAATACCTCGAAGTTTTAATCCCTTCCCGACGTTAAACCCGTGAGATACCTATCGGAACCATGACAACAGCATATCTAGTGAATGTTGGTCTAATGCCAATGATGATATGAACAGGTGAAAACCAGGGACTTTGCTACCAGGTCATAATCATTTTATGTTATGAACTATTCTCTGACACTGCTCCAATTATATTTCGTTTTGTAAAGACTCACTGCCTCGTTTTTCTACGTGTAGTTACAAGCAAATTGGATTAATATTGTATGGCAAGTTAACATATATAACTAGCTTAAACATTGCATTCATTACTATTACGATAATGATATCAATGAAAGTGTGTCAGGATCATTTTACTGTGCCCTTTCCTATACTAATCAAAAGTAATTGTTATGTTGGTGTCCTCGTGCGGGTAATTATTGGCAGATTTTTCTAAAAAATCTGTGAACAGATAAGGTTAGACTGACATCGTACTAGTTTGGAGGGTACCTTATCCTCCATGTCAGGACGAATTAACAAATGATTTGTTCAAGTTTTTCACACAACCACAGGATAACCTTTGAAAGAACTCTCGTGAAAACCTGGGCTAGGACATATCCTGCCATTGCTGCCATGTAAAAAAGTAAGCATCAATCAGTAACGGAAGAGAGATCAGAACGGGAGATGAAATAAAAATAAAAGTTGAATGAACCGCGGGATAATTTCAGCCTATAAAAAATGACGTCATGTTTTGACGCGCTAAAAATGATAAAAAATTGTCTTTTGATATAATTTAGTCGTATATAAAGGTAAGTGATATTACTCACTTTAGGTTCATCAGATAGCTGTAAAGCAAAGAATTTACAGAGATCCGACGGTAATCAAATACAGCTCCTTCGTGTTTAGAGCTTTGATCAGACTCCAGATTGCGGGTTTAATATGAATCAGAAAATATTCCCCTTGTATTACCCCCCCCCCCCCCCCCCCTCCCCCCTCTCGATATGGTAAAATTACTCATATAATCGGTAGATTTCGTTGCCGGCACCTGTCACTAGAAATATCTCACATCGTCAAAGATTTGTTCCAAAGCCGGTCATGAAGGTCAACTTTATACTCAAGAGCATTCATTTATTTATAATGAATGTTTGTTTAGTTCGTGATAGAAATATGGATTGCATATTTTTTTCCATGGATTTCAAGTTTCGATTAATTTTTCAAAAATTAAATGCAGTATGCGCTAAATAAAACATTTTTTTTTATCTAGAATTGCTCACTCTTTGTCTCCATCGTTGGGGGAAAATAGGGTATCATAAGTGATATATAATGTGCGCGAGCGTAAGTGCGTTTGTGCGTGATGGTGAGTGCGTGTGGGTGTGCAGTATATAGGTGTGTGTGTTTTTATTTTTATTATTGCAATTTATGTTTAATCCAAAATATCAATGTACGATGTATCCAGTTTGGTAAAGAATGATTTGTACAAGATGTATTCGATTTGAGAGAAAATAATTATTTAGAAAAAAAATGGTTGTATAAGTGTGTGTACGTGCGTGTTTGCATGTGCAATTGCGAACAACTATATTTACAAATTACTTTGCTCATGAAGAAAGAAGATTAGATGCCCCGATTTCGCCAAGTCTTGTTACAGCTGTCGAGTGTTTTATCTCACATCTAGCTCTTATCTTTCCTGCTTTTACAGAGGGGCCATTTAAAGCGAGTATGAACAGTAAAAAGATTCGGATAATTTACCATGTTTACTGCTCGAAGCAACATCACCACGATGAAAGCACAGCCATTGACCATGGTGCATTTTATTGAAAATAAAATGTAACTAGATAATTTAAATCTTATCTCGCATCTTGATCTAAAAACCTACTTATTCAAGACGATTACTATAAACTACCCCTTCACTTTGATAGTTAAACGTGACTAAAGGCGGGAAAGGGGTATGAAAATATATTTATCGAATGGAAAGAAATTATCTTTCCCCCATGTTGTAACCTCAATATTGCACTATTAATTTCATCCAGATTTATCTGTGGTGTTTAATTTCCTGATTCTCCTACAGCATTTCTGTGCTGCTCCCTGGATTTCGGGCTTGACTTCTTATCTGTGTATTTTCATTATATTTAATTTCAACGGAAAGATTACAGATTGAAACATCGAGGTATTGTATACGTGTTAGGACGAACCAAATATATCACGTTTGTTTCCAACGCCCGGGGCACCTCAGCATACGGGGACTTTCTCCGATATTTTTGTTGGCTGCTCCCCGGCGTTACGCATCCTTCATTTAGCTTTTTCCACAGCGAAAACACGTTTAAGGTTGAGCGAGAAACGTTCAATTACGAGGAAGCCACGCCTTCCTATTCTAATAGGGATTGAATGATGTCAACGGTTAAATCATATTACCAACCTACATCGTAATCATTGATTGACAAGCTGATCACTGAGTTCCTTCAATGTGATATCCTTCTTTAGAACATGGCCATGGCACGAGTACGTGTGGTCGTTGTGTAGGTTATGGTTTCTAAAACTAGGTACAAACATTTGTGTATAGAAAACTCTACTGCCTGACAGGAATTTACTGGTTTAAAAATAAAATGCATACATTCAATTGTTTATCCATTACAAGTCAAATATATAACGAAGGTTGTTGAGATCAATCTCATATTATAATTTTTGTATATATCTTTGAGTAAAATCGTGTCATTGACATTATTTGGAGACTGAAACATTGTGCCAAAAATGTTTGCATTTTTTTCTTCTTCAAAATGTTCTATTAAATTTCCGAAGAATAAAGGTCTGAAGGTCCTTATGTAGGTCAGTAGCAGTTTGCAATCACGGTAGACAAAGAAAGGGAGGGGAGAGGGAGAGAAGCAGAGGGCTGACTTTAAATTGAAGGAGTCTATAATCATCTCGTCTTTATTTGTATACAAGACCTCTGGAATAAATACCAAACATCTATGTGCCTTGTGTCCTAGTGTAAAGAAATGATCATTTAAAAATATTTGATTTCTTGATTAAAAGAACGCTGTCCTTTCAATTAGCATGAAACAAAAAAAAAAGGTCGTAAGTACCAGGGACGTTTCTATTTATGTGTGCCTGTTTGGCATCAGCCTGTGAAGTAGTGTTAAGTGACAGTATTAATCAGTCATCAAAGTTTCTTCATTTATACTACGTTCAGGGCTAAAACTTGATATCCGTGCCGTGGTATACGACTTTGATTTCATTGATGGACGAATAAACTTGTTTTCAATGCAAATGTTTATATAAATAGTCGAGGTCAGTTATATATCAGTAGGCAATGAGAGCTTTTGGCAGATTGATTTATTCAAACAAAACCAGCGCACTCCTACAATCGCATTCTTTTTAGAGAAAACAATAATTAGATCTAAAAACTGCAAATTCCTTCGAGGAATTAGCATGTCAACATTGTAAGTTGCGTTTCATTATCATCTGCCATCAATTAAAAACTGCTGAGATCGTGTAAAATTACAGGACTTTGCATAGAACTCTATGATGTGAATATTTTAGGCCAAATAAAAAATAAAAAAAAGTTTAGCGTCCTGTTTTTTTCGAAAAATAGGAAGGAGGAGGCCCTTTTTTTTCTTCTTTTCTTTTAAAATGGCCGCTCAGTACATTTTCCCTGACAGTCGGCCTATTTTTCAATATGGCCGCCAACATTTTTTTTTCTTTTTAAAATCAGAATTAGATCTATTTCAGCAGTATTTTTCATGTTGTTTTTCTTTTAAAAAAAAAATAATAAAAAATAAAATAAAAAAATAAAAGATTTCCAAAAAAAAAAACAAAAGTTTGGAGGCGGCCCCCCAAAA